GACTCACTTCTAATGAACAGAACATAGCAGAAGAGATGGGACAGCACTTCCAGCACTTCCAGGTTTAGGCTACGAAGGCCGTGGCTTCCGTCTTGAGTGCTCCCTGGCACTCTCTCAGATGGCCAGCTGCCACGTGGTAAGGACACTCAGCCAGCCTGTGGAGAGGCCCAGGCAGCCACACACGCGAGTCTGGACGTAGATTCACCACTGCAGTTGGTCCTTGAGGTTAACTGCAGTCCCAGCCGGCAGCTGTACGGCAACCTCAAACCCTGGGCCAGCGCACTCAGCCAGCCCACCCCCAGGTCATCTCACAGCAGCTGTGAGATCACACATGTGCGTTCTTTTAAGCCACTGCATCTCAGGGTTAATTTGTCACACGCAATAGATAACTACGACATAACCCTCCACATGGCAGTGGCTTCTCTAACAGTGCTGTGAGAAAGGCGGTCCTGTTCTAAGTCACAGCAAAAACTGAACTAATGGCCAGAAATTTCTCTATGTAAAAATTTGCTCTGGCGATTTCTTATTTTGTTCAACCTTTCAGGCTGCCTCATCTGTGACGTAAACTCGGTTACATTCAGTTTAATTTTTTTATGTTGCGAGGACTTACTTTTACACATTATTTACAGATGAATTCATATAGTTGTTTTCTGCTAGTTAATTACCATGATGGAAGGAAATATGTTTCATGGTGTTCTACACAGAGCGCTGGGGACCCCCAGCTGAAGAAGATACAGTCCCTGCTCTCAAGGAGCGTCCTTGCCATCCGCAGGAGGAAGACAGGTAAGCCACCACAGGAGGGGTGCCCCCATGAAGCAAGAGAGGGCAAGCTGCTGTGGGAGCCTGGAGAAGGGGCGGGGCTGAATCAGACTCTCCGCTGACACTCCCAACCACAACTTGTAGTTACCCTGCCTCATGCCTTGCTCCTGCTCCTTCCCATGTAAGAATGCCCTTTCCTAATTCCCTCTCTGGCCTGCTCCCAGGCCTTCTTCAACTCAGTACCACCTCCTCCAGGCAGTCTTTCAGGTCTTCCTGCCCCATAAAGTGGGGTGATACTTCTCTCTGCCCGACTCCCTCCCCCGATGAACCAGTCCTCCATCACCAGTCTACATTGCCCTGCAGTACTTATTCTTGTGTCCTTTTCTCTCCCTCGCTGGACTGCGAGTTCCTGGAGGACATGAACTCTGTCTTACCAGCCTCTGGTACAGGACCAGGGCTCCAGGCAGCCATGAAGGAGAGAGAGAACTTCTGGGGAGGGAGTGGAGGGTAATGGGACTGATGCAGAGCAGAGGATGAGCCCTGGAAGGTCAGGCTCTTTGGATACTGGTGTGGGCAGAAAAGCGGACCTGGCTTCTTGTCTGATGGGGGTATCATGATCCAACAGACATTGCCGGCTTCTGATTCACAGGGATGCTAGCCAGGCCCACAGGAGTCAGCCACTTCCATGCCCACATTGCTCCCCTCTGACCACCCGCACAGCCACTGGGGGCCGCCGGGTCTGCTGACCTGAGTGTGGATGAGCAGAGATGCAGGAGGTCGATGAAGGTGGTCAGGGTCTTATCCGTCAACCCCACCTTCCACAAGCTGGCATGGGCGGGAAGTGCAAAAACACAGAGCTAGAGGTCCCCTCCTACTGGAAACGGCTTCCCACACCATCCTTCCAGCGACACCCTTCCGCATCCCCCACCCCCACCTCCCACAGTCCCCAGGGTCTCCCACCCCCTTGGTTCTCTCCCCCAAGCCACCAGGGGCCCCACCTCTCACGCGGGCCTCCTGCCCATCCCCCCAGTGCCCCTCACTTGATGGCCTGTAGCTGGGTGAGCGAGGGCAGGCATTTAGAGAAAATACCCAGAATCCGTTCCTCAACCTTCCAACCTGCGGGCCGAGAGGAGGCAGGCGCCTCAGGCCTGGGAGGCGCCGGGGGAGCGGGAGGGAGCGCGGACGGGCGGGGGACCCGGGCTCACCGCGGATGTAGATTTCCTTCACGGACTTGCTGTCCTCCTGCTCCAGCTCCACCTGGATGGTGGGCCGGAAGAACACGTATTTGCTCTCCAGACTGTTAAGGCTGCAGGACCCCGACAGCCGTGGGTCTTCTGGAAGAGGTGAGAAGGGAAGGGAGCAGCCGCCTCCCCGCGCCCCACGCCCTGCCGGCCCACAGGTGGCTAGGTGGGATTGGAGGGCACCGCCAGCGTGGGAGGCACCGGCCTGCGGGCGCTGCCTCCCCGGCCACGCGCGCCTCTGCTGGGATTTGGAAAGAAAGACGGGAGACCCCTCCACCTCCTCACCGGCCTGGTCGAATCCCCCCATTCAAACACACATGCCCCGCGTCCTGCCATTCTCCTGGCTTGGGAAGAGAGGGTGAGGATGGTCGAGGCGGCCCAGGTAGGCACCAGCTCCACTGCCACTCACCTGGGGTGACCTTTTCCGACAAAGAGGCGGAGGGGACAAAGGGCGGGTGAGGGCGGGGCCGGTTGACAACTTTGGGGAAATCCGTGTAGCCCGACCGCGTGCAGAGCTCCGTGAAGTCGATCTCGAGGACCCCTGAGCACTGGTACTCCTCTGCGGGGACAGGCAGGGACGTGAGAGAAGGGGCCGCGCCCATCCCTGGCTCCTCAGGTTCACCCGCGCGGACTGGCGCCCCTCCTCAGACCGACATCCTTACAGCCATTCAACTTGCAAATGCCTGGAAAAACGGGGAACTAGCAACTTGCAAACGCTTGGAAGAAAGGGGACTAGGGACGTGCATGGTAGACAATGGTGTCGCCTCTTCTGTGTGCTGGCTTCCCCACCCCCAGCTCAAACCCACTGCCACCCCTGCTCTCCACTCCCAGCCCGGCCTCCACCTCTCTTGTTGTCCCCAGCCCGGCCTCGTCACAAGTGTTCCTTCCCTGCTGGAACGGCTCAGGGTCCCTGGGAGGGAGACGCGCAGGCCCAACGTGAGTTCCTTTCTACTCCCACCCCTTCCCTACACAAATGACCAAGTGCAGCAAAACCACACTATTATTTAACACTTCCTCTGTCCAGTGTGTTTATATGGCACTTCCTCATGTCCAGTTCTAAAATGCTTTAGAAATATTAACTCATGTGTGAGTTATATTAATTCACACTTGCCCACCCCAACTCATCCTGAGGGCGGTGCTATGCGAGCCTGAGGCTCTGCGTCTTCAAGAGATCCTTGCTCCTTCTGGCTCCCCACTAAAAAGTGGTTCCTAGAGTTAGGACCGGAGGCCCTGCCACGTGCCAGACAACCTGGAGCTCCACAGAATAGGGAGCCTGCCAGAGGGCACGGAGGGACTGGCAGAACGAAGAGAGCTTCGAGGGTTCATGGGGAAAGCTGTGAGAGGTATGTTCCTCTTGTGTCTGGCCATCGGCGGGACCCCGGGTGCACAGTTAAGTGGGCAAAGCAGGTAGGAGAAGGCATAGCCAAGTTGCAGTGACCCCTGGGCTGGCTGGCTCCTGCACACCTCCCAGCCCTCCCAAACTTCCCTCTGCTGGGAGAGCCCCTCATGCCTCCTTGCTTCACTCATACCTCCCTTCTCAAGAACAGAGATTTTCAAACTTTAACATCTTTAAGAATCACCTGGAGAGCCTGTTAAAACCATTTCCTGGGCCCTATTCCCGGAGATTCTGATTCTGTAGCCCGGGTGAGGCCGATGATTTTGCGGGTTTTTTTTTTTTTTTTTTTTTTGAGACGGAGTTTCGCTCTTGTTACCCAGGCTGGAGTGCAATGGCGCGATCTCGGCTCACCGCAACCTCCGCCTCCTGGGTTCAGGCAATTCTCCTGCCTCAGCCTCCTGAGTAGCTGGGATTACAGGCACGCACCACCACGCCCAGCTAATGTTTTGTATTTTTAGTAGAGACGGGGTTTCACCATGTTGACCAGGATGGTCTCGATCTCTTGACCTGGTGATCCACCCGCCTCGGCCTCCCAAAGTGCTGGGATTACAGGCGCCCGGCATGATTTTGCATTTTTGGCAACTTCCCAAATGATGCTGAAGTGGCTGGTCGGACAACACCTATAGAGAAGCCCTGCTCTCAAACCCCGAGAACAGCGCCGCCCTCGCGGTGGAAACGGGTTCTCTGCACCTGAGCACCTGTCAGACAGCACAGCTCTCCTCTGCTCCTACACCCCTTCCTCATGCTCACTAATGGTCTCAGCTCATAGTTTCTTGAGAAATAGAAGCCATTAGATAGGACTGCTTCTAAATCCCTACTCATTTCTATATGGGCCATCAGCGAGACCACATCTGCCTCTGCCGCAGCACTCCAGGGTGTCTGCTAAGGCCACCGTGACCTCCATGTTGCCTATCCAGGTCCTGTGCAGGCGTCACTCCCATTCTCTCCTCCCTCTCTGCTGGCTGCTCAGACTCCCCTGCCAGCTCCTCGTCCTCTACAACCTGTGAGGCTGGGTCCTGAGCCCTCTGCTCTTCTCTAGTTACAGACCCCCTGCCTCCTGGAGGGGTCTCTCTCATTGCCAGGACTTAACTGTGCCAGAACATCAGCAGCTTCCAAAGCCACAACGCCACCCGTGACCTCTCCTAGGCACTGCTGACCCACGTGTCCAGCTGTCCAGCTGGCATCACCCCCCAAAGCTCTTCCCTTATATGCACCTCCTTCGGGCTTTCCCATCTCCATGAGCGGCACCTCCTCCCAAATCGTGCCCAGTCCAGAAGCCTGAGAATCATTCTTGCTCTGTCCCTCACTCCCCACCCTGTCCATTCCTTCACCAACTCTTATTACTTCTACCTTCAAAGTGTTTCTCTGAGGAGCCTAACCCAGGCACCCCTCACCAATCTCACTGCCCTATCCCAACCCCCACTGTCCCCAGACTACACTGTTGAAATAGTCTGGTGACTCATCTCTCTGCCCCTTTCACCCCATTTTCTATACAGCAGCCATGCTGCGTGTGTGTGTGTGTGTGTGTGTGTGTGTGTGTGTGTGTGTGTGCATTATACCTGTAGGGGATTCTATACTGTCTTGTCTTCCCTTCCAGAAGATCCTCTTTCCCCAGCTCTTATAATTCCTTCCCCCACCCACCAGCACTGACGAGGAGATAGCACCTGGCAAATGCTGGGCGAGCAGAGCCTTTTCCCAAGTTTTTTACTTCGATTCCAGAGACAGTAAGTTCTTGTCCAGTAATGTTGAAGCTAGCAGACTTGTATCAAGAAGTCTTCCGAAACATTTCCCCTCTGTGCTTAGTTTGGTTGGGGTTCTATCACTTGCAACAAAAAGGGCCACACCTCTACTTACACCATTCTATTCGTTTTCTTTTCCCAGAGGATGTAAACCCCATGGGAGTAGGGCTGTGTCCCTCTCGTTCTCTTCTGTGACATACCTGGCCTCGTGGCTGGCACTTGGAAAGTAATTGTTGAATCAATGAATGAACATCTATAAACTCTGCTCAAAAGCACCTCCTGGCATCCCTCCCCCAACCCCGTGCCCTCACCCCTGGGCCTTCCTCTCTTCTCTATCTTATCACATCTTATTGGTATTTGTCAGCATCCCAAACCAAAGTGTGGGTTCTTTAAGATCAAGTTCCATTCAAACATGTATCAAGCCGAGATTCAGAAACTCAACCTGGGTATGTGTGAGTTCAGCCACAGCTGTCGAGCAGTGACCAGCCTGGAGGCCCCATCCCCCAACCCCCGCGCCAGCGTACCAGGGTTTTTGGGCTCCTCCTCGCCCACGGGAGGCAGAACAGTCCCCGGCTTCTCTTTGGCCGCGCGGTCTCCCTTTTTGGTCACCACGCCAGACGACTTCTGGGTTCCCGGACGCGGGGCCCTGGGCGAGGCCCCCGGGGCGCCCTGCTCGCTCGACATGCTGGTGTTGTCCGCAGCGTCTCTGGCACCCTCGTCGGGGCGGGAAAGTAGAACCGTACTATATGGGGCTCACTCTGGGGTGGCTGAATCAGGGGGTCTCTGTTCCGTGTCCAGGAACCGGATCCGACCCGCCCGCAGTGGCGTCGCCTACGAGTCCCTCTCCAAGACAACCGCGCGAGGCGGGCGGGACCGCAGGAAAGGGGCAACCGCAGAGAGCACGCGGGGCCGACAGGGGGCGTCGCAGGGCAGAGCAAGGCGAGGGGAGCGCCCAGGGGGCGGAGCGAGAGCGGGAGGGGCGGGGCGAGAGCGGGAGGGGCGGGGCGAGAGGGGGGGGGGCGGGGGGAGAGGGGGAGGGGCGGGGCGAGAGCGGGGGGGGCGGGGGGAGAGCGGGAGGGGCGGGGCGAGAGCGGGAGGGGCCGACCGGGCTGGCGGAGCGGGCAGGGCGAGGGCGGCCGGAGATCGCAGGAGTTATGGGCCCAGGAGGCCCAGGGCCGGCCGAGCCTGTGCTAAAGGAGAAGGGCTAGGGTGACCCAGGACCTGCGCGGAGCCATGGCAGAGGGAAACTAGTGGTTCCCAGACAGGACCGAAGCGGGGACGGGGATAGGGCGAGGGCGGGCGATCTGAAGTCACCCTGGACTTGAGCCGGGGGGAGCGGGCGGACTGCGCGGGGTAGGGATCTCAGCTGTGGGCAGTCGGAGGACACCAGAGAGAATCCAGGTGAGGGCAGGTCCACTCTCCAGCGTCCACCCACCTGTCCAGTAAGGAGAGGGCACCTGGTGGAAGAAGTCTGGAGGAACCCATCTCGTTGGTGTGGTGCTAGTTTCTATTCTCGTCCCCCACCTGTTTAGCCTCCGGAGGGGGTCTCTGGGAACTCAGTTAATCAGCTAACGAGTTAATAAGGTGAGTCACACTTCTTACAAATCTGGGATTCAAAGTCATCACCTGACTCCTACTCTAGACCCTGATGACTCTGCCCTGCTGGACCCTATTTGAATAAAGGCATGCCCCCAAAACACTAAGGGTTGGGCTCCAGACCACCGGAATAAAGTTAATATGGCAATAAAGTGAGTCACACCACTTTTTTTTCTCAGTGCATATAAAATTATATTTACAGTATACTGTAGTCTGTTAAGTGTGCAATAGCATTATGTCTCCAAAAAATACATATAGCTTTTTTTTTTTTTTTGAGATGGAGCCTCACTCTGTCACCCAGGCTGGAGAGCAGTGGAGTGATCTCAGCTCACTGCAACCTCTGCTTCCCAGGTTCAAGCAATTCTCCTGCCTCAGCCTCCTTAGTAGCTGGGATTACAGGCACGCACCACCACGTTCAGCTAATTTTTGTATTTTTAGTAGAGGTGGGGTTTCACCATGTTGGCCAGGCTGGTCCTGAACTCCTGACCTCAAGTGATCCTCCCACCTCGGGTTCCCAAAGTGCTGTGGTTACAGACATGAGCCACAGCACCCAGTCCAATGCACATACCTTAATTTAAAAATATTCATTGCTAAAAATGTTAGTGATCATCTGAGCCTTTAGTGAGTCATAATCATTTCACTGGTGGAGCGCCTTGCTTTGATGTTGATGGCTGCTGACTGATCAGGGTAGTGGTTGCTGAAAGTTGAGGTGGACGTAGCAATTTCTTAAAATAAGACAACAGAGAAGTTTGCCTCATCAATTGAGTCTTCCTTTCACAAAAGATTTCTCAATAGCACCCAATGCTGTTTGATAGCATTTAACCCATGACAGAACTTTTTTCAAAATTGGAGTCAGTTCTCTCAATCCCTGCCACTGCTTTATCGAGCAAGTTTATGGAGTATTCTAAATCGTTTCTTGTCATTTCAACAATGCTCACAGCGTCTTCACCAGGAGTAGATTCCATCTCATGAAACTACTTTCTTTGCTCATCCATAAGCAACTCCTCATCCATTCAACTTTCATCATGAATTGCAGCAATTCAGTTTTGTCTTCGGGCTCCACTTCTAATCCTGGTTCTCTGGCTACTTCTACCACATCTGCAGTTACTTCCTCCACTGACGTCTTGAATGCCTCCAAGTCATCCATGAGGATTGGAATCAACTTCTTCCAAACTCCTGTTAGCACGGATATTTTGACCTCCTCCCATCATGAATCACAAATGTTCTTAATGACATTTTGAATGGTGAATCCTATCCAAAAGATTGAATTTGCCCAGATCCATCAGAGGAATCACTATCTACGGCAACTAATGCTTTACAAAATGTATTTTTTCTTTTTTGAGACAGAGTTTCGCTCTTGTTGCCTAGGCTGGAGTGCAATGGCGTGATCTCGGCTCACTGAAACATCCGACTCCTGGGTTCAAGCAATTCTCCTGTCTCAGCCTCCCTTGTAGCTGGGATTTACAGGCATGTGCCACCACGCCCAGCTAATTTTTTGTATTTTTAGTAGAGACAGGGTTTGGCTATGTTGGTCAGGCTGGTCTTGAACTCCTGACCTCAGGTAATCCACCTGCCTCGGCCTCCCAAAGTGCTGGGATTACAGGCTTTGGTGAGCCACCATACCTGGCCCAAAATGTATTTCTTAAATAATAAGACTTGAAAATCAAAATTACTCCTCAATCTACAGGCTGCAGAATGGATACTGTATTAGCAAGCATGCAAACAACATTAATCTCTTTGTACATCTCCAGGTGTGACTATTCCTTTCACTTCAACACCTAGAGGCCCTTGTAGGGTTATTAATTAACTGTCATTTCAATATTGTTGTGTCTCAGGGAATAGGGAGGTCCTGAGAGAGGGAGGGAGTTGGGGGAACGGCTGGTCGATGGAGCAGTCAGAACACATACAATGTTTATTGATTAAGCTTGCCATGTTATATGAGTGCAGTTCATGGCGCCCCAGAACAATTACAATAATATCAAAGATCACTGATCACAGATCACTATAACACACATAATAATAATAATGACAATGTTTGAAATATTGCAAGAATTACCAAAATGTGATGCAGAGACCCAAAGTGAGCACATGCTTTTGGGAAAATGGTGCCAACAGACTTGCTTAAAGCAGTGTTGACACAGATCTTCAATTTCTTTGCTTGGCTTTTCTTAACCTATTGCTGTCACCTATATTTCCCAAAACCTTCAATTTCTTTAAAAATTCCACTACCTGTGAAGTGCAATAAATCAAGGCGTGCCTGTATACTCTCTCCTAATATCCTGTCTCCAGCCTCTGCAGCCCCCTCGGCCCCACCCCCCCTGCACCCCTGCCCCTGGCACTTCCCACGTCTGAGCTCTGTGTTGTCACCCCATGGAAATGCCACCCTTTAGGGAAGTCCCCAACTTATTCAGTCTATAGCTGTCAGAGCACCCAGGTGGCTCATCTATCTTAGCTACTGCAAGTCACCGGTACTTTAATCCAGTCAGCCGCTCAGCCTTTTGGGGAGCATTTATTGAGTCCCTACTGTGTGCCAAGGGAGAGCCAATATTGAGCATAAGGACAGGATTCCTGCCTTCAGGGAGCTTACAGTCTAGTGTGGGAGGCAGTGATTAATCAAACAATCACATAAAGAAAGAACACATTAAAGAAGCACCTGGCACCTGTAGGCCTTCTGCAGGTACCTAGTGAGTGTCCACAGCTGCAGTCAGGGCTGTGAAAGAGGCATGGAGGGTGGGGTGCTTCTCTGAGGAGGAGGTGTAAAGGAAGAGCAGGGGTGAACAGGCGAGTGGGGGAGGAAGGGCACTCCAGCTATGCAAGTCCCCGAGCTAGAAAGAAGTGTGGCCCTGTGGCCTACAGGAGACCTAGAGGCCAGTGTCACTGGTGTGCAGTGAACAGGAAAACAGTTCAAGGTGAGACTGGAGAGACAGACGGGCCAGGCAAGCAGGGCCTTTAAGGCCTTGGAAAGTTTTGATACTGGCAGGAGAGCAAAGGGTCACCTACGAAGGCTTTCAGGTAGGGAGAAACTACCCAGCCTGTATTTTGAAATTTTGAGCCTCGAATTGGAAGGTTCACTGGATGAATGCAGGGAGGCCAGTTGGAGGTTACTGCGAGACTTAATTGGGTTGGGGCCATCTCCCTACTAAATAGTAAGTGCCCTAGGACAGGACCTGCGCTTGGCACCCTGCCAAAATCACAGAAACACACACACACAGAGCCCAGCCCGGGCGTGCACAGAAAAGGTACCCCACACACATTTGAAATCAGTCTGGAATCAGAGTTACCTAGCAACTTTCAACCCACCAGTTTATGTACACAGGGCCCTGGGGGCCTTGGGAGCAGTGGGGTGGGAAAGGGAGATAGGCATCCTGCTGCCCAGTGTCTCCCAAGGTAGAACCTGGGAACGAGGCTCCCGTCTCTCCTTTCACTTGCTCCGTTAAGTGTTGTTCGTGTTCAAGGCCGGCCGGTCCACTCCCTGCCCCTGGCAGGGAACACCAGGCTCTGTCCCCAGCCTTCGGCAGCAACAGCCAGGTGTGCTGGCCTCTGCCACACCATCCTGGCTCCTCACCGGTCCTGGCGTCGAAGTGGAGGTGATGGGGGATGCCGTACTGGAGGGAGGTCATAATGTCCAGGGATGTGGCTGTTCTTGGGTGAGTCATAGTGGCCGGGGGGTAGACCCGGAGGCAGAGGGGGCTGGGGGCCCACAGAGTCCCGGTCTGGAAACGTACAGGACAGGATGAGAGGGCATGGCTCCCCCAACTCCCACCGCTCTCCTCCCCTCTTCAGCTTCTTAAAGGCAAAGAGAAGGAGATGGGTCTCTGGATACATAGCCCAGCTTACCATCAGCTAGTTGTGCAGCTCTGAGCAAAAGGCCCTTAGCGCCTCAGCTGCCAGTGAGAAAGCCCCCTCAGCCCGCCCACCTCCCAGGATTCCAGGAGACTTCATCCCCTGCCTGGCTCCCTACTTTTCTGGGTGCCAACTCCTCCCCCCAATGCTGTACAACCACCACTTCAATCCTGAGCCCTGCGAGGCACATACACATGCTGTTCTCCAGATGAGGACATACGCTGAGAGTCCACCTCGCTTCCCCACTGTGCTCCATTTGAGCCGGAGGCTGACCCTGAAGGCCTCACTTTTGCTGCCACATCGCACCTTCTCCTCCTCTCCCTGCTCCTTCTCTTTTTTCTGCCTCCCTTGTCCCGTTTCTCTGCCGCTCCTGCCAGTGGAGAGGGAAGGCTCACCGTGGATCAGGGGACTGGGCTGCTCGTAGGTGCCACT